AAAACTGCAGGGAACTCTGCAAAAAACGCATCTTCGCACGGGCAGCGCGTGCGTTGGCCAATTTTTATTTTTTATCTCCTTTTTTTCATTTTTCTCTTTATTTTATTACTTTTTATTATAACTTTCTATTCTAGGGTATTCCTTAAATCATTATATATACGCATCATTCTTGTCCTTCCTCAATCCTTGCTCGCTTTTCTCACTTCCAACCCCTCCCCCGTCCCCCTTCTCCGCTCTCCCCGTCATTCTTCCGCGTCTCCTTTACCCGTTTTGCCTCAGATGTGTTTAAGCGTGCTAGGTGTTAAAGAGCCATCTTAGCAGTTCCGGAACTGATGAATTTTGCATTCATGATATAGCAATTCGTGGTACAGATTGAGCCCGGCAACATCCAGTCATTTTGGTACATCAGTTTAGCTAGTTGTGGGAGTTTCGAGATTGTTTAGATCATTTTTGTTTGGAAATTCCAAGAGCTTCCGGATTTTAGTTTGCGGTGCTAGAAAGAGGACTATTTCAGAAGTTGCATCATTTAATTTACTTCGCATACGTGTGTGATTCCTTTTGATTTCACTGTTATTTTGTGAAAGTATTTTTTTTTTTTTGAATATCTGTCCCATAAATGTGGAAATTTCTGAGATTTCACCATTTAAACCGACCAGTCTTTATGCATTCCTGAAAATTGACACATTATTTTCAGGGAACCGCTTTTGATTGACAGAGGAGTAGTCGTTCATTCGGTTTCCCTATACTTTGGGCTTGGATCAAGTTACTTTCAGCGCGCATTTCAGAGATCCCAAAATGGCAGCTGCTCTGAAAGAGGTTGATCTAGAAACGGTTAGTTTCATAATAATCACATTTGTTGATAATCGTAATAATAATAATAATAATAATCAATCATAATCATAATAATAATGATAATCACTGGAAACATAATCACATTTGATGATGATTATTTTGCACAGTTAATAGTTCTGCGTGTAAAAATGCCTCTAAGATAGCTTCAGTTAAAAAATACACAGTCATTTTTTAGACAGACGTGTGATACATAGGCGAATCCAGGGGGGTCTCCTGCGGGGGAGGGGGGAGGCGACTTTTCCTCTTCTTCCCCTTCGTTACTACACCCACCCCTCCTCGACCCGCTCGCTTTCCATCCCTCGATCGTCCTGCTACTTCCCCACTCGCTAGTGGACCTTAAAATACGGCGACGACCGGGTATTCCTGCAAAAGGGAAGGGGCAACAGGCAGTGT